TTTACAAGTTTTTTTTCAAAAATCATCCCTCACACGCTATGTAAAGCACAAAATGATATGTTTTGCAAAGTATTAAATAGAGTAAAGAACATGCATCAATCTAATTTGGAATAGTTTGTAATACGGATTAGTTCTCCGCTTACGCGTAAATAGCACTAATTACATCGCGCGTTAATTACCCCAAATTGCTCAAAATGGCAATCTTTAAACCCGCATAACTTTACGAAAAAACATCACAGGTAAAATATCGTTTTCAGTTTGAGCTCAGAACAACAATACTCTTTGAATGGTTTAAAAAATTTTGTCAAAAATTGCCTGTTAAAAGTCGAAATTTGTCTGGAGAAAAAACCAACCCAAGCACAAATATTCAGTCACTTCATTCCAGCCGGAACAAAAGTTTTGACGCGAAAGAGTTTAGAAAAAACCAATTTTTTTGAAACTTATAAACACTGACACGTTTTGTCATTTTTTTGATTTTTTTTTGATCTGACTTTCGCAAAAAGTAAAGAATATATAAGGTCTGGAAATTTCTTTTAATTCAAGAGTACTCAGTTTTGCCAAGACCACTTTTACAAAAACCGGGTTCCTCAAAACTCAAAACTCTGACTCGTTCTCTTGGTCTGCATTGGGCCAGCCCAATATGCACACCACTATGAAAACCTGCCATGATTATGCCTAAAACTGCTGGTTTTATCATCCGCACTACAAAATCGTTCCAAATGGAATTTAGGCAGCCAATTGGTTTTATTTACTCCATACACGACATAAATTGCAACATTTTTTAAAAGATTTTATTGGCCTGAAACTCATAGCTTTGCCAATACTTAATTTATCAAAATTTATCAAGACCAATTAAAGGGCAGTCGGAACATTCAGGGCTTTGCCCTGATACGAGCAGTCTGTTTCTGTTTAAATACAGACTAGGTTTGCTATTCGATCAAAAATCATCAAAACTGTTCATATCAGGGTATTCAATGTTTTGACTACCGGTAAACATGTCTGTTGTAGAACAGTCGAAAAAAGAGATAGAAATATCACAAAATATCATCAACTGCTTGGCTTCATTCATTGTGGAATGATTCTGAATTTTCCGTCGACGCTACGCTACAGCAATTGGATACTTCATTGAATCAAGTATCATAATATGACTAATTTGGCTTATTGACCATTTTGGCAATAACTTTACGGAAAAAATTTACTTTTCAAATGTCTTTATAATTCTAAGCTGAGAGCAGGGGCGGATCTAGGATTTTCTCTAGGGGGGGGGGATTTCAAAAATTTTTCGAAATTTTGACGACCTTTTTTTAGATCGATCAAATTGATTTTCCGAGCTCTCCCAAAGCAGTAAAAAGTCCCTGTTTTGGCGCCAAAATGTTTGCACTGCAGGCAAAACTTTGGAAAAAACAGGCCAAAAAGGCGTTTTTAGGCTTTTTTGGAAAATTTTGACCAAAAAACCGCGTTTTTTCGGCGCGCGCTCCCCACTCAAGTTTGGAGAAATTTGTTTATAATAGTCATCAGAACAGCCCGGAATTGGTCACTCTAAATTCATCAATCCTCAAAAATATCAACAGTTTTTGCCGAGTTCTTACAATTGTTACAGCTTGGAAAGTACTCTTTTTGTTCTGTTTTTGTCTCTTTTTTGACTGAATCACTATGTCACCTTTTTTATATGGGCTTACGAAACGTGGAATTGTGTCAAGGGGTCCTAATCCGTTGTTCTCCATATAGGGTGCAGATGTCGAAACAGAAGCCTCTCTAGTGTCAGAGTTTTCATATATGTGCAGGAAGAGTTGTGAGAGATCGTATTGATTGATTAGCGGCCATGCAGATGCTTCCCAAAGCGTATTTTGAGCCGCCGCCAAAAAAATGATAGATAAAAAAGACAGTCGATGTATCTTCAAAATATAGAACTAGTTAATTGATGGTTCCAAGATTCCTGCAATGATTTATATATTTTTACACTTTAGCTTTAAGAGATTTTTTAAAGCTCGTGTAGTTAACCATATAGTTCATCTAAACCAAATTCTTAAAATAAGTGATTGAAAAATGTCTTGCAAAATTTATTGGGATTTATCGGGTTCGTTTAGCTCATCATTGACGTTTTCCATTCGCATGATTAGAGTACCAAAACATTTTTCTTGAACTAATATAACTATCCTTGTCCTTGAGAACTACTATTTTGGAGGTGCCTGCCAAAAAATTGATTGGAATTTATTTGCAAAATTGTAAAAGATACTTATTCGTGTAGGCATGAAAAGTATTTAATTAATCCTTTTCCTTTTCAAACAGAAAAAGCTCATTGTAGGACTATATCGAACATTCCATTTGCTTTGGATTAATCAAATAGTAATTCTAGGTTTGATGAAATGCTTTTACAGTAATCAATCATTATTTCAAGGTATAATCTACAATACCTTTTAGAAAAAAATAAGGGGTCTCAAAGACTTATCCTAACCGACAGTGTCATCCAGCCTGGATCGACAAACTACCTATATATATATGTTATTTATATTATTAACAATCTTATGTTTAACGCCTAGATGGCTGGTCACTTGACCTTGGTAGACAGAGAGAACGAACTCTAACTGCAATATCCACTTTGGTCGCAACATGAATCGCGGACCTCGGCCCTGATACCATCACACACTTTTTTAATAGAATTTTTCTAAATTGTAAACAAGACTTTTCGTATCAGGGCAAAACCCTGAAAATTCCGACTGAGTTCTGAGTAATTTGAAATAGAATAATCGATGAAATTTACAAGTTTTTTTTCAAAAATCATCCCCCACACGCTATGTAAAGCACAAAATGATATGTTTTGCAAAGTATTAAATAGAGCAAAGAACATGCCTCAATCCAATTTGGAATAATTTGTAATACGGATTAGTTCTCCGCTTACGCGTAAATAGCACTAATTACATCGCGCGTTAATTACCCCAAATTGCTCAAAATGGCAATCTTTAAACCCGCATAACTTTACAAAAAAAACATCACAGGTAAAATATCGTTTTCAGTTTGAGCTCAGAACAACAAAACTCTTTGAATGGTTTAAAAAATTTTGTCAAAAATTGCCTGTTAAAAGTCGAAATATTTCTGGAGAAAAAACCAACCCAAGCACAAATATTCAGTCACTTCATTCCAGCTGGAACAAAAATTTGACGCAAAAGAGTTCAGAAAAATCCAATTTTTTTGAAACTTATAAACACTAACACGTTTTGTCATTTTTTTGATTTTTTGTTCTGACTTTCGCAAAAAGTGAAGAATATATAAGGTCGGGAATTTTTTTTTAATTCAAGACCACTCAGTTTTGCCAAGACCACTTTTACAAAAACCGGGTTCCTCAAAACTCAAAACTCTGACTCGTTCTCTTGGTCTGCATTGGGCCAGCCCAATATGCACACCACTATAAAAACCTGCCATGATTATGCCTAAAACTGCTGGTTTTATCATCCGCACTACAAAATCGTTCCAAATGGAATTTAGGCAGCCAATTGGTTTTATTTACTCCATACACGACATGAATTGCAACATTTTTTAAAAGATTTTATTGGCCTGAAACTCATAGCTTTGCCAATACTTAATTTATCAAAAACTATCAAGACCAACTAAAGGGCAGTCTGAACATTCAGGGCTTTGCCCTGATACGAGCAGTCTGTTTCTGTTTAAATACAGACTAGGTTTACTATTCGATCAAAAATCATCAAAACTGTTCATATCAGGGTATTCAATGTTTTGACTACCGGTAAACATGTCTGTTGTAGAACAGGCGAAAAAAGAGATAGAAATATCACAAAATATCATCAACTGCTTGGCTTCATTCATTGTGGAATGATTCTGAATTTTCCGTCGACGCTACGCTACAGCAATTGGATACTTCATTGAATCAAGTATCATAATATGACTATTTTGGCTTATTGACCATTTTGGCAATAACTTTACGGAAAAAATTTGCTTTTCAAATGTCTTTATAATTCTAAGCTGAGAGCAGGGGCGGATCTAGGATTTTCTCGAGGGGGGGGGGGGGGGGATTTCAAAAATTTTTCGAAATTTTGTCGACATTTTTTTAGATCGATCAAATTGATTTTCCGAGCTCTCCCAAAGCAGTAAAAAATCCCTGTTTTGGCGCCAAAGTGTTTGCACTGCAGGCAAAATTTTGGAAAAAACAGGCCAAAAAGGCGTTTTTAGGCTTTTTTGGAAAATTTTGACAAAAAAACCGCATTTTTTCGGCGCGCGCTCCCCCCTCAAAACATATATTCGTCAGGGGCGGATCTAGGATTTTCTCGAGGGGGGGGGGGGCGGATTTTCAAAAAAAATTGACGTTTTTTTTTTAGTTCGACCAAATAGATTTTTCGAGCTCTCCCAAAGCATTGTTTTTTGAAAAATTTTGAAAAAAAAACAGTCAACAAAGCCGTTTTTTGGCACTTAAAAAGTTTGACAAAAAATTGCGTTTTTTTGGCGAGCGCTCCCCTTCAAAGTTAGTATTTATTGGCGCCAAAGGCGCCTTTAGAAAAACTTTAGGGTCGGTCGGCCAAAAATGATTTTTTTAAAAAGTATCAAAGGGGGGACCCTTTTGGTCGGCAGGGGGTCAAATTCCTGAGTGGAGGGCGTCCCCCCGCCCCCCGCTAAATCCGCCGCCGATATTGGCTAAGTTTTTGGGTCCGTCAGCCAAAAACAGATATCTCAAATAAGTTCAAAGTGTGAACCCGGTATGTGACAAATTTTTAGGTGACTTGCCAGCTGCTCTGACCAAAAAATTGTTTTCTACCTATATATTCTGTGTTACTGTGACTTGTACTGACTACGAGGCCTCAATTACGATTTCAATGACGAAGTTTTGGAGTTAAAGAGTTGGAAACCTTCGTTTCAATCGTAAAATTTATTTTGAACGGACTTTTACTGATTTTTTTAAATCCAGAGATTTCTATTACTTTTTCAAATGATCAGCGTTTAAAAAATGCCGCAGATAAATATCTCAAATGCAACACTTTCAATTCACTTTTTGATTACAGATTACATTCAGGGGTAGGCTGGTACTTTTTGCTTGCATATTACATTCAGGGGTAGGCTGATATATCATCAAGGTCAAAAAAATAACATCAACCCTATTATGAACGCCTTGAATTAGTGATATCCTCGTGTAATCATGATTGTGCGTTGGCGCTTTATTTCCATATTTTTGTCGCTTTTTTAGTCTTCAGATGTTTTTTGTCTTCCGATATTTTTTGCTCAGCTCTGAAAAAATTGTAGCTATCGGTCAGTGAGACTCCAAGTTTTTGTTCTCCATTGTGCGCAGCGAAATTGTAGCGAAGTCTCCGTTAAGTGGTTCGGCTTTTACCAGGAATGACAGATTGCTCCGCTTGGTAACTTCGTCGGACTTTTTTTGTCGGTTTTGGAATGCTCCGAACTCCATTTTTGGAACTGTTCCGCCAATTTGGAATCGCTTTGCGAACGGTGCTAAGAAATACAGTTTAAAAGCGTTTCACTCAACAAAAATCAAAACTAAATCACAATCACAGAACTGCAGAATGGCAATAATTCAATCAAATTTATTTTCCTCATACTATTTTGAAAAAATACAGGCTTTTGTTTCAAAAAATTTATCCCCTTAGACAGTCGCTACTAAAAGACTCAATTATTTTGGAAAAAGAACATTTTATGATTACTTCTAAGTTTCTTCTCAAAATCATGAATTGACGAAACTTTGGAGAAATTTGTTTATAATGGTCTTCAGAACATCCCGGATTTGGTCACCCTAAATTCATCAATCCTCAAAAATATCAACAGTTTTTGCCGAGTTCTTACAGTTCTTACAGGTTAGAAAGTACTCTTTTTGTTCTGTTTTTGTCTCTTTTTTCACTGAATCACTATGTCACCTTTTTTATATGGGCTTACGACACGTGGAATTGTGTCAAGGGGTCCTAATCCGTTGTTCTCCATATAGGGTGCAGCTGTCGAAACAGAAATCTCTCTTGTGTCAGAGTTTTCCCATATGTGCAGGAAGAGTTGTGAGAGATCGTATTGGTTGATTAGCGGCCATGCAGATGCTTCCCAAAGCGTAGTTTGAACCGCCGCCAAAGAAATGATAGATAAAAAAGACAGTCGATGCATCTTCAAAATATAGAACTAGTTAATTGATGGTTCCAAGATTCCTGCAATGATTTATATATTTTTACACTTTAGCTTTAAGAGATTTTTTAAAACTCGTGTAGTTAACCATTTAGTTCATCTAAACCAAATTCTTAAAATAAGTGATTGAAAAGGTCTTGCAAAGTTTATTGGGATTTATCAGGTTTGTTTAGCTCATCATTGACGTTTTCCATTCACATGATTAGAGTACCAAAACATTTTTCTTGAACCAATATAACTATCCTGTCCTTGAGAACTCCTATTTTGGAGGTGCCTGGCATAAAATTGATAGGAATCTAATTGCAAAATTGTAAAAGATACTTATTCGTGTAAGCATGAAAAGTATTTAATTAATCCTTTTCCTTTTCAAATAGAAAACGCTCATCTTAGGACTATATCGAACATTCCATTTACTTTGGATTAATCAAATAGTACTTCTAGGTTTGATGAAATGCTTCTACAGTAATCAATCATTAATTCAAGGTATAATCTACAATACCTTTTAGAAAAAAATAAGTGGTCTCAAAGATTTATCCTAACCGACAGTGTCATCCGGTCTGGATCGACAAACTATCTTTATATGTATGTTATTTATATTTTAACAATCTTATGTTTAACGCTTAGATGGCTGGTCACTTGACCTTGGTAGACAGAGAGAACCAACTCTAACTAAATAAGAAAAGAGAGTTGAATACATGTTATCTGTCAACTAGTCGTTTCTTTCGCTCCGACTTAGAATTAAAGGTTTATCGATCCATTCGGAGATTCAAGTCTTAGAACATCATACCCTCCGGTATGACATGGCGCAGCAAGCAGGATATTCCAAAAACCCACTGAACATCAATCCATTTTGGGAGAGAGCATCGGCCGAACCACCACTCGAATGGACAAAGTGGGCAGCCATAATGGAGATGGCCGTATTTGCAAAGGATGGGATAGAAATTCGGAATCTACTACGACCAAAACCATCACTCACAGACCCTGTTGACCCTGTACATAAAATTGAAATACAGGGCGAAAGTGACGCACAAAGGAAAAACCATGAGGTGCGCAATCAAGAAAAACGAGTCGGACATGAAAATCACGTCATAAAAGCCCGGGTGAAAGGGGTTTTATGTAACTCATACAGATGGGACGAAGCAGATGCACGGGTCCGAAGCTACTTTTTTTTCTGTTTGGGGACTGAAGGCCAAAGACAAATTCAGCAAAAACGACCTAACCTAGTCTTACACAATGTAACCACGCAAGAATTTATGACAACATTGGAGGATATCTTCGTTACTAACAGAATTGTAGCGTTCGAGCGTTACAATTTTATTTGCCGTAAACAAAAGAAAACGGAAAATCTGGAACAATTTCATGCAGATCTCGTCAAATTGGCATCACGGGCAGATTGCGGAGACAGAGAAGACGAATGGGTGAGAGACATGTTTACAGCACACATGCACAATGAAAAAATTGCAGAAGAATTGTTAGCACAAACACGAACACCACAAGACGTAAACGAGTACGCAATTCGAAGAGAAAAAGGAATTGAACATAGTCGAACTATGAAAATATACCCATTCGGGGGACAAACTACACCAAAACAAGAACCCATACATTATATCAATAATCGGGGTGGTCGATATAATTCGACAAATAATCAGAACTCACAAAGAGGTAGAGGCAGTTTCCGTGGTCGACCATATCCATGCGGATCCCAAAACACAAGAGGACAAGACAGAAATAGCGATACAAGCAGTTCAAAACAATGCTATAAGTGCGGAAATCAAAACAATCAAAATCACCTGCAATCTTGCCCAGCGAAGGACAAGATTTGTTCAAAATGTGCCAAACGAGGTCATTTTGCAAAAGTTTGCAGATCTACAAACATTAATTATTTGACCCGACAGGATTAGCAACAGGAAGAGATAGAAACAGAAAGCATCGAAACGGAAAACGATCCAGTAGCTTTTGCCAAGTTTACGTCAAGTAGTGGATGGGATGAATATCAAATAGAAGACTTTTCGGTTATGGCGATCGCTGAATCGTTTGAGATCAAAAATTCAAATCTTCTGTCAGAAAATGATCTGAATGGACATGTCGTAAAACTAAAAACAAAGGCAGAACAACTATTTGCTATCGCCGACTTAGGAAGTCCAAAGTCATTTTTGAATGAAAAAAACCGCACGGCGCATTCAACAAAACGATAGATCAGCAATATTTAAATGTATCCTACCAGACGACACAGCAAGAAATCTGGCCTGCTATAATGGCGAAAAAATAATCCCAAAGGGACGATTAATCATAGCAATTGAATCGGGAGGCTGGAAGATTCAATCAGCCCCATTCATCATTGTAGATGATCAAAAAGCCAATATCATCGGACGCAATTTACTACCAAAAATCGGCGTCAAGCTGATTCAAGAAACAAACAAACAAACCATTTTGAATATTTGCGAAAAAGAAGAATCTGATCAGGTTATCAAACAATGGGTTAAAGATAATTTCCAACAACTATGCATACGTATCGGAAAATCAAAAAATCACATGATAAAAACCCAATTCAGTCAAGACTTCGTACCAATACAACAGGAAGGCCGACGTATTCCTGTACACTTACAGGAAAGAGTTGAAGGGGAGCTCAGTAAGTTGATGGATTAAAACCACATCATCAAATTGGATAAAGGTTTGGACCAACAATTTATTAGTCCCCTTGTGATCACGGTAAAAAAGGATTAAACAGTCAAACTTGTACTTGATTCTAAGAAAATCAACAAATTCATACACAAAAACAAATACCAAATGCCCAACATTGAACTCCTGTTGGATAACATCGCACAGGTGGTAAAATCAGACAAGTCTCAGCAAACGCTATTTTCAACACTGGACCTTTGGTACGCATACTCACAAATCCCATTGCATGAAACGACCAAGGAACAATGCAACTTTAGTATTATCGGAGGCCACGCTACTGGAACGTATCAATTTCAAACAGGATTCTATGTCCTCACGGATATGCCATCCAAATTTCAAAAAGCGATCGATTTAACTCTTACTAGTTGCACAAACACCTACGCTTATTTGGACGATATTTTGATTGTCACAAAAGGAAAGTTGGATACACATAAACGCAATTTACAATCAGTTTTGAAAAAATTGGGAGAAGAAAACTTAGCAATATCATTGGATAAATGTAAGTTTGCATGCAAACAAGTTGATTGGTTAGGATTTAGTGTTAATAGTGAGGGTAAAAAACCACTGGTAAAAAAGACTGAGGCTATTGAGAAACTATTACCACCGAAAACTTTTAAGCAACTAAAAAGTTTTATGGGTTCCATACATCACCTCACACGGTACATTCCAAAACTGGCACAAACCGCCGCCGCGTTACGCCCATTACTAAAAAACACAGAAAAAACAGACCACTCGAATGGTCCACAGAGCATAATACAGCATTTAACAACATATTAAAACTGGTTTCAGAAATAACACAAAATCAACATTTTGACCAACATTTAGATACTCGCATAGTATGCGATGTGTCAACTACAGGACTAGGAGCCGCACTCGAACAATTTTCACCAGAGGGTTGGGTTGCCGTAGCATATGCATCACGATTTTTGAACTCATTAGAGGAAAAATACTCGGTCAACGAACTTGAATTGTTAGGGGTCGTGTGGGCAATCGAACATTTTAAATACTATCTGTATGGGAAAAATTTTACCGTCATCACTGATCACCAAGCTTTGATCAGCGCGTTGAACGCGAGCGAGCGATTAAAAACCAGTCAAAGTCGGCTCACTCGTTGGATCGACCGATTAATCCCCTTTCTCTTCGATATCAAACATCTCGCGGGGAGCAAAATTGGGCTAATTGACTACATATCCCAAAACCCGGTCGGATTGGCAATACCCCCTAGTGAGTATGACGAGAAATTTGTTGTAGCATCAATTAGGGCTATCATTAATAACCTGGAAATTATTGATAATGCCATTCTAAACAATCTAGCCAATCGGAGCGAAGCACAATATCAGCTGATCAAAAAGCGCGCGAAAAACAAAGGACTATTGAATGCTACTTCAAACATTCAATTAACAATGAAACATTTCAAACATTCCGCAACCGGTCATTGCCAAAATAATAACACAAATCAGTTTCACTCAAAATCTGCTGAAAATCAGTCAACGCTCTTCCGATACAAAGAATTTAAAAACCAAAAAACATCCGTGCATAAAATCTCAGTTAAACAACGCCACAACGCAGCTATGAGCCGTAAAGATACTAAGGGGTTCAAAGGAGGATTCATCCCAACAGAATTAAAATCATCAGAGGCAAGAGGACGAATAGCTTCACGGGAAAACTGGCACGGCTCATCCGATCGGGAAGAAAGCCTTTCGGACCCCAGATAAAAAACCTCCCAACAAAGGAAAGAAAGGGCACCCGGAGGCACAAATGTCACCACAACAAGCACATCTTCAACAAACATCAACGCCCGTACGGGACCCAAGGGAGATACTTTCGACTAAGAAGATCGATACTATCAAAAAGTCAAACTTACCGGAGATCACTTTCACGGATACAAATGCATCCGGAAACAGAACAGATCGGATCAGTTCAGGATGCAAAATGCAAAAAATGACGACACAAACTACAACGACAACTACACAAACAACCCCATCGAAACCACATACTACAACAGCTTCTACCCAAACACCCGAAGAACCAAAAGACATAGTATCGGATATTTATGTCAGCCGGGTAAAATCCGGAAATTTGCGTACAGGAGATACTGGCTCCCAATTTTGAACCGCCAACAATGGGACACACGTAAAAAGCCAGTCACGAGATGATATCAGCCGGACTAGTCGCTACAGTGGACAAAACGACCAATACAGTGGAGGCGGAAGAAGACACGCCTTTGTTTAGACAAAAACTACAACGCGTATTGGGTGTTCGTTTTATCGCCGCAGCCACCAAGAAAGATAGAAACCTTCGCCCTCTTATCAACTTCGTCAAAAAGAGGGATTGGGAAGCAATC